AATGATACAGACTCCTATAACGTATACAAAAATCTGTAAAAGATAACAAATCTAAGTACCTGTTATAAAAATCTGTATCGTTATTTTACAGAAATTTGTATTAAAAGTTATATGTAAACAACTGCGTAGCAATTTACAGATTTTCTGTACTAGTTTTTTTTAGAGTGAAGTTAATCTCTCTTAATTTGAGTGAGATTTTAGTATCTCACTCAATAAGAGTGAAGTTTCTAAATTTTCACTTAAATGGAGCAGGGAGAAAAAGCCTCGCTCTTTTTTAGGTGACACATTCTGACTCTGGTATTGGCAGTGAGCTGTTAGACTTGAATTGTCGTGGAACGAAATATACAGGGTGGGTGATCCGCGCCGTGGTTTTTTTCTGCTTATACTGTACCGGATTAACGCGTGCGGGCGGGCTTGCCTATCGTCGCTCGCCATGGCGCCTTATGGCCCCGGGCGACTATGCAACCCGTCCGCACGCATGAATCCGGTACAGTATAAGCAGAAAAAACCACGGCGCGGATCACCAACCCTGTATATATCGCTTTGAACCCGGCGTCGTAGGGCGTGAGAAGATGAAGCAGCTATCATTTTCTGATGAACCATTCGTCAATGGAGATTAATTGTGCAGTGCTCACGTGACAAAACAACGGTAACAATTAATAGATACCAGGTAGGTGGCTGGCTCACGTCGCGCACATTCGTAGCTGTGCGAGTAGTATGTATGCAACCCGCCCGCACCCGTACATGTGGTACAGTACAGCTACGAAAGTGCGCCGCGCGAGTCAGCCGCCTGGTAATTGGACTTGTTGGATGAAAGACACGGATTTCAGGCGAGCGACCGAGGAGGTTGTCCTGGTATAGCCGCGTGGACAGAGACACGTACTCTGCGCGACTAAACCTGTAGACGCAATGTAGGGTGCGTGACAGCAATTTTGCTAAAAGAAGAATAAACAACATATCGACGTATCATATTGCCTTTACACTCTTAAATTCTTACAAAGAAAATTCTTGTATTACAAAGAATTTTGAGCAGCCGTAATACAAACCCAAATTTTCTTTGTACTACAAAGAAAAATCGTTGTAATACAAAGAAAACTTTTGTGTAATACAAGGAAATTTCCTGTATATTACGGTTGCACAGAATTCTTTGCATTATACGAACAAATTCTTTGTAAAAGATTTAGAGTGTATATACGCTGTAGCTGTAGCGTCCACCGTGATGTCGTGTTAATGCATGCTAGTGGTTTGCGTGCGGAAGCGTTCCGGATATTAGGGAACGTAAGGGGGGTGGGAGAGTAAAGGTCAAATAAAAGGCAAGCGCAGACGGCGTAAGAATGAAATTTGTTTGTCATGTGAGTTACGTTGTTACCGGTTATGACAGTAGTTTTAAGTTTTTATATTAAAAATAACTGACAAACTTTACGCTTTAACTTGCAAACTTTACGCTTTAACTGGCGTACTTACAACTTTACGAGAGTACAAGCTGACGATAACTGCGTATCATCTGCTAAAAACAACAACACGGACAACGGCGTTGATTGATAGGGGGCATTCGTTAGAAATTAGCGAATGAATAATAAATGGACGCATGGGCGCTAACTACGTTCCTGTCCACGTCGGCGGACGGCCGTGCTCCGGACACAGGAGGCGACGACGTGTGTGGTGAGTGGAGGGTAGCGTGACCAGCGACCGCCGGAAACATCAGCCCCCCACCCCTCGCATTAAAAATCGATTTTGAGACTTTTAAAGGTCTTAAGGTCAGGAAATTGTTTCTTTTAGTTAGAAATGAAGTTTTTCTTTCGAAAGGGATTGACCGGGAAACTCTAAATGGTGAAGCACAACGTTAATGCAAAATTTCATTTCTTGATAATTACACAGAAACTAGTCGTCCAAAAATGAAACTGACCTGCAAAGTATCCAAGCTTTGGCTTAAATAGTTTCAAAGTTATCGCAGTTTGAAATTTCACGCTGCAAGAATTTTCTGTGTAATTTTTTTTCTGGAGGTCGAGGGGTCTGGAGCCTGCCCGGCTTTTGCCCGCACCACGCGTAGGTCGAATGCTTTGCCTACTCGCTCGGCGACGCTGTCATCGAATGTTGCTTGCGTACGGGCTCCACATCACAAACCTATCACGCAAAGAGGAGATGGACGCACTAAGTGCAACATTTCCACTGCTTCGTCACGACTGACAGCTCACAGAGTAAGAGCCATGCTGACGGCTTTTACAGGCTCCGCTTATAGTACCGCCTGTGACGCGCTGGGTAGGCCAACCCGCCAAGCAGCTGTGTGGGGCGGGCGGCCCGCCCTGCGCCCACAGTGCAGGAGCTCGGCGACAGACGGCGCCAACACGACCCCTCTCGCACGCCCCCTCGGGGGACGTTCACTGTGGGGGCGCCTGAAAGGCGACATGATTGGTTTCGTTTCGAGAATACTAGACTGCGACGGCAACTGCAAACGCTCAAAAAAACTATGCATCTGGACGACATGGCGACATAGCCGATCGCCGCGACAGCGGTGCACGTCTTGAGAGCGTTACATTTGATGGCTCTCTGCACCATTTCAGGACCTGCAGCAGACACCCCAGACATCCTTCAGGACTCCACCGACCTGATATCCTTGAGGCGCGCCTCCAAGCAGCGCCACCACGCCCCGACGCCCGCCCCGTCCCCAAGCACGGCCCCGGCCAGCTCCGCCCTGCCCCGCGGCCAGCTCGAGTGAAAGAGTATCAATACGTCTACGGTTAGCACGCGGGGGAAACGAAACGGATCCTAGTGTTTCTACGACGTGTAACAATTAAACGGCATTCATAAACCGATCATTTAGAAAATGTACTTGCTGCGGATGCCGTCGGAGGGGACTTCAACTTCAACAAGAGTTATCACGACTGCTTGTTCTTATAAGATTCCTATATAATTGCGTCAAAACTATTTGGGTTCTGTTCTTTTTAGCTTGAGGAAGGGTTAAAAATGTGTTTGGCTGGATTATTTTTTGGAACTGGGTACGGACTTTCCTTTCTACCCCCCCCCCCCACCAAAAAAAAAACAACAACAAAACAGCAGCAGTTTGAGAGCGATACCATGGTTCCCTGTCGTACGGGTTAGGGAAGTGTTATAGTCACGTCGTCAGCACCGGGCGAGTGGCACCAGACAGCGGACCAACTGGACGCCTGGAGTAGATGCGTCGCATGGTAATAATTACTGTAATTATCTTGTGGAGGCGCGCGCCAGCGCGGAGGCCCCTAAAAGCAGCACTGGAAAAACAAAGTTTTAGCACCTTTATTGACAAATATGGCATGACACTCAAAATTTACTTAGCTTCGCTGGTACGATGTTCCTTTGTTTTTCCAGTGTGATTGGGGTGGAGTGGGTGGGGAGGGGGGGGGGGTAGATCTCTACGCGCCACGCAACGCGGTATTAGAAGGGCGGCCATCGTCTATGTAATTTACCGACGCGTTATTGATTTAGGAGGAAACCAAGCGCGTGCCTAAACACTGTAAAAAAATATATAGATATATATATATAGATCTTTGTAATGCTCGATATATTTTGTAATTTATCAATCTTAAGATGTGTCCACGGTAAAATAGTTCCTTGAATAAGCTGGTCTTGGATGCCATTGGCGTTCTCCATAAGATCTAAGGCACGGTCTTGTAATACAAAAAACTTTTTTCACCGTGTCGGACATATGTACAACCTCCCACCTCCCACCCTTGCTCTTCATTCGATTTCAAGTTGAAACGCAGTGCTTGTAAATTTGTACGACATCCTCCATGAAAATTTTTCCTATACGACCCTTGAGAACTTTGGTGTTTCAAAAACCAATTACTTAAAACCCGGCTAATTTAGGATGCCCCCTTAACCGGATGCAAGTAACCTCCCTTCAATAAATCTTGACATTTTTGTTGATTGAGAGGAACAAGAACGTAGCGATGTACCATTCTCTTTTTCTGAAGGTGGACAGCAACTAAAACGGTGCAGGTCAGCTGCAGCGGTGACCAGGCCAGCTGCGGCTCGAGCCCTGTCCTTGGGCTTCACTTTGCGGTTCTGCACACACGTTATTGCGGTTCACGATCTCCGGACGTCCGAGCAAGGTAAAGAACACGCAGGCGAGGAATAACTCTCCTTCATAAGTTCATGATTCTTTCAGACGTGGATATTGAACTATACACTTAGCCTAAACGACGCCGTTGCCTTGACCTGCCAAAATTTTTGCATTACTTTTTGAATGAAAAATTGTTGGCCTCTTTGTTTGCCAAAATTTCTGCGCACTGAAATTACGAATTCAGCGAATTTTGACTCAAGACCCTTAACCTGCACATACCATTTTTTTCAGTAAAAGGAAAGAGGCTATTATCAAAATTGTATATCATCACTCACAATACCGGGGGAATTTACGAGCGCTCCTTCGTTAACAATCCTGGCTGGCCGCCTCAAAAAATAGCTTACAACAACGGCGGAATTTCCTCCCTGACTCGTCGGTTTCCCTCCCTCCCAGGCTGTTGTTTACACGCCCGCCAAGGAACAGTCGTGGTCCGGGACGGGATCGTATGAGTATCATTTTAAGCATGTGTTTTTTTTTTTCAAGGTATATTTTGGGGTCACGCGATGTGGGACTTGTTTGGGGTGTTCTGGTGGCGAGACTCGAACTCATAAATTAGCTGACGCTTCGCCGTCCGCAACTCGCGCATCGCATGTCTATATAAGACAGACGAGTCTCTGACCTTTATCATGGTCACGATCATCGCTACTTATTAGCAAAGAATTATGGGGACGCGCCGGTCCTGGCTCTGACCGGAAACGGTTTGCGATAACTGCGGCTTTGGATCCTCTCGGATATTCAATTTTCAGGCGAAAATTCACAGAGAGATGGTCATAACATAACGCTTGAGCGGCGTAGTTAAGGCCGTCACTTCATATTCCTACAATCTACTGCTGAGAATTGTCCCTCCCCCTCCCTATTTAGAGTGCGTGGAAAAACAACCTCTAGAAGCGTGCAAACTCACCGTGCAGTTTGGTGGTGCCCGGATCGTCCTCGATGGTCAGCCTGACGTGCTCCGCGGCCGGCTGTGTGAGTCCGTTGGAGTGGACGCCGTGCCCGTTGCCGACAGCACTGATCCCGTCAACAACGACAAGCGTGTGTCCGTTGGTGGCGCTGATGTCGACCACGTGTCCGTTGGTAGCACTGCCCATCGGCGGGTCGCTGAACGAGTCCAAATCGCCGAGAACGGCTTCGACGTATCCGTTGGCGACACTGTCTTGAAGCGCGTCCACGTCCACGCTCACGTCCAGGGTGGGTGTGTCCGTAGCTTCCGTTTGCTTCATCCCGACTTTTTAATCTGCCGAGGAAAAGATGAGGTCGGCGTTAATGTAGGTGTTTTCATCTTCGAACAAAAGGTTGGTTGCTTTGCCTTTTCACCGCGCTGCGAGTTCCGGACACTGAATAGAGAATGCCGATAGGCCCTACCGTCAACCGTACCATACCTTCGACCGCCGTCACTCGATTTTCAATTCTAATTTGCCCCACCTGCCCCGAGTAACGCATGCGGGGATACACTTTAAAAAGTTCTGTTGACTCTCACAGATACCAGATTATCTCTAACTAACTGTCAACAACTTCTGGCAGGCAGAGTAGCTCGCTGCGTTGTTACACTGTTAAAATAAAACTGTGCGTGTTCAAGTGTACAAAATTCAGACGTTTACGAAACGTCAAAAGTATGCGCATTACACAAATGCGAGCACAAATGTGCTTCGTCAGTTGAACACTATGTAATGTGCAAAATCATGATCTGCAGACGTCGGTGTGCAAATTTGTCACTACGAGCTGACCTACCACGAGTCTCGCAGACAAAAACAAAGTCGTTCCCTAAACGCAGCTGTGTGAGTAGGCACAGGTGCGTTCTGTTGAACAATCTCGGTCGCCGGACGGACACACACGGATTGGTCAGAAAGTGGCAAGGCGGCTCACGTAGCTCGTTAATACACTTGCGTCTCTGCGACGGTTATTATGGTAGAAAGGTCGTTGAGCACAATCAAACCACGCCTTCTATTTGGGGGAGGAAAGGGAGTGTTTGAAAAGGGGGGGGGGCAGGTACATCAGGCTGGGCACTTAATAATAGAAGCTTTGAAAATAAGAATGTTTCTGTTGTGCTTTGTTTTTTACCGCGCCCCGCACTTTGCCCGAGCGAGCAGGGCCGTTACCGACCGAAAGCAGCACTCCGCGGACCAGCAGCAGCGCGGGTCATTCCCTCCAGTGCGAGGCGCCGGGTCGGGGCGCGACCCTCGCGGAGGCACGTACCGACTGCGCTGGCGGCGGCTGATTGAGAGTAGTAATAATGCTATCTGCGGTGCGCCCGGTGCTCGCGTCAGTCTGGTGCGAACTGACATTATGACGGTCGCGGCCACTGCTGCAACCCCCAAGCGTGCCAAAGCTCCCCTTCACCGCAGCACAGACAGCCTAAGGGGGTGCGCCGGAAAAAATCTCCCCAGGCACCATACGGATCAGCCTCGTTTTCTGCCACGCGGCATGTAGCACACTTTTCGATAAGTTTGTTTCGATAAGATTTTTTTTTGAGTGGTGCGTCAGTGCATTTTGTAGTTGTCATGGTTCCCGGTAAAGTTTTTGAGCATAATGGTGTGCTATCATTCTTAAAATCAAAAGTAATGGCAAGAGCCAGAGTGTGACTGAACGGAAAGCAAACCTCCTGACGCAACTCCAAAACATATATAGATTAACTGGTTAGGTACTCACAGAAGCAAGCAGTGCGTTGGCCAACTCTAACTCGCTCGCTCCTTCCCCATACCGTGCCGTAAACGTTATTACCACCTACTAAAATAACCCGCTCCTTGAACCACATTCAAGAAAACGCGCGCACACATGGAGTACACATGGCAAATTTAATTCGAAACTGTCGCATTTCCACGTCGCCCAGCACTAGCCATAGGCAAAATATAACAGGCACTTTAATTTTTTTCCAGTTCGAGCTCAATATGAACGAGATATGTGTGCCACCGGCAATTTCCACTCCTATTTTCGTTGGATCGAGTCGAGAGCGATTGGCCACTCTCCAATCGACTGACCAGCTGACTGGCTCGGCCCCCAGGTGTACCGGCCCGCCCAAGCAGGTTGAGGGGAGTAGGGCACGGGTGCGTTAGCATATAAGTATACAGATATGTTATACTACCTACAACCTCAACGATTTTAAAGACAAATAAATTGTCTTTCTGTTTAAAATAAAGATAGCTTATCGCAAAATGAAAATTAGAGATTTTGTTTGGAAGAAGGGGAAGAGGGGGGGGGGCCCTCACCGATGGATGACAAAACCCAATTGTTCTTTCGTAACAACATCCTTACAGCACAACATGAAACTACATACGCACCGCACAGTCCCACCGATCGTCAGTCACAGTCACCCTTACAATCTTTTCTGCTCCAAACCAACGGGAATGGGGTTTGTTTTAAGGCAAACATATTTGTTTGGGGTGGTCTATCGTGGCCTGCATCTGCCTCGCCTCTTTGCCCTGCACACACTTACACTCCGCGGGTGGTGCGATGCCCCTCACTGCCATAATCCACAGGGGTCGCTGGGGGCGCTGCAGGGGCTCCGGGGGAGTACAGAGCGCGAGCACACACTGGGTCACCACGCGACGAACGAGCCACCGGCGCCACAAGCTCTCATGACCCGAACAAGGGAGATGCAGGACTGACCGGTGCGGCTGCGTCAAAGCAGGCAAGGCGAGGTGAGGCGAGTTTTCCTCTCTCGGCCAGACAGACGAGCGGCCGCTCTGGCTGCCGCGCCCCGCCCTGCCCGCCCCACCCCGCCCCGCCACGCACCGGGCGTTCCGACCGGCGGCCGGCGGGGCGGGGCCTGTTCTCGGGGCGAGCGCGGCTCATCAGCAGACTGGAACCAGAACCAGTGGGCGGCTGCATCGGGTATGAAAAGTTATTGCAGCGGTAAGATGCCGACCCAAATACACGCAGAACTATAGCAGCAGATGCACAAACAACACAAACCAGACCGCTGCCGAGCTTTGAACAGTGCCTGAAAACGCGGCGATGCTTCGGAAGGGCTCGGAAGGCAAGGGCCTCTTGTCCAAGCTGGACACATCGCACGAAACACAGCGCAGCAGAATCAACTTGTACTAAGGATGAACGTCTGCTCATGCAAATCAGAGGAAGCAAAGCCCAGCACTTCCGCCGCAAGGTCACGGCCACAACGCCGTGAAGCTCACCTGTGGCCAGCCTCGTGTGGAGCAGTATGCCGGAGGAGTGAGTGGAGGTGTGAAAAGGTACCTCGTAGGAGGAATCCTGTACGGGGAAATCGGGGAAATCTTTTTTCGACCGTCTGCCCCGGCCATTATAAACAACTTGTTCACAGGCACTTGCCTGGATGAAAGAAAATGAGGGCCGGTGAACTTGACGCGCACAAGTACGACAAGGTCAGAGCGACCAGATCACATCATCACAACTTGTACGCACATCCACTCGATTCCGGCCGGAGCGACTGAGGCAAGAACCTGTCGAAAGTAAATGCCGAGAACTTCCCTCGGCTATCCTCGAAGGTGGAGTAGGGACCAGGGCTGTACGGTGCCAGATTTCCAGAGATGAACATAGTAATAATCGAGGTAATAATAATAATAAATACCATTGAAAACAGAAGAGCACCCCGCCTATCATTCGGCGTTGGGTTGATGTCGCTCGAGCCATTGCTTTTGGATCCCAGTTCGCTGCATTAGTAGAACACACAACTCAGCAAAAAAGCGCCGGGGAGTGTTATTTGTTTCGACCCGGGAAGCTCGCTGCCGCACGCTAACAGAGCAGCGGCGGGAAGAGAATAGAGTCGTGAGCTGTGAACACTGCGTGCGCGTCTCGCACATGTGTAAGCACAGCGCACGGTGTGGGCACAGGAAAAGACTCTTCCACCGTTGGAATAAAAAAAAAGAAAACACGAATGTGAACTTTAAGGGATGTTCCGACCAGACATTTGACTGGGCCCACCCGTACCCGTGCTAGAATACACCGGAAACCCAAGTGTGTAAATGCCGCACACTAGTAGGTGAGCGAAAGCCAGTGTGCGACATTCACACACTTGCGTTTCCAGTGTAAGCCTGATACAGGCACTGCGTACGCGTGCTGGTGGTAAAAGCAAAAAGTGGATGGGGAAAATCAGCTACTATATTCATCATTATTTTTTTCTGACTATTTCATGCACTTTTGCACGATTGTTCAAACAGTGACTCACACGGTTCTAGCATGCGCGCGGCCGCAAGTTTCAGACATTGATGAATGCCGATGAGTGAAAAATAATTACTGGGGGATCTCTTAGCAAAAACAACAAAATTCAAAACAACAACCGCAACAATTCTAATGGATGCCTGGAAGTTGACCGTGCACTTTTTGCAGTTACGGAACAACAAGCCGGTCGGAAGTGTTTGTTGCCCACCCCTCAGGGACAATTAGGAGCCCCATACGCATGATGTTCACTTCTTCCTACGAAACAAAATGATGACGGATGACACGACACTTAACGCGCCGTATCTTTTTGGCACCTGCTTTGTTTTGGTTTGCGCGAGCATTCAGGGACAAGGTTGGAGAGGTTGAGGTAGGTCGGACAGGCGGCGCAGTGACCCACTAGGCCTCAAAACAAAACTGATGAAATGTTTACGCTCGCAGAGTTGTATCCGCTCTCCTTTTCCCTTACTGACCAGCAACATTCGCGCGTCTCCTGTTCCCGAACAGTTTTTGTTATTTACTTTTGCGTGTCAGCGGCTGAGTCCATCGATTGCCGATCGGGAGAAGGCTGCCTGCTGCCGAGCCACCCATGCTTAATATTGATGCCGATTATTGACTCCAAGGTTTTCACGTCAAGAGAGGAAAAGTCGAGGAGGGAGACATGCAAGACAAAATTAGTTTTCTGCCAAAGACTGGACTGGACTTGTTTTTGTTCATGACTGAAAACTGGTGGAGGAGGCGACTTAGCTTTTATCTAAGAAATAGTACAGAGGTGTTTCATAGGACGGCCGAAATACGTGCCTCTATGTGGAATGAAGGCACTCCTGACCCCAACATTTTCTATTTTCGGCAATTTCGGTTTCCCTCGTCTCATGATTTGTTTAACTAAATCTGTTTCATTATTTCTATCAGGCAGGGGGAAAGACTTAAAATGCAAGCAAGCAGACTTTTCTGAGGGGTTCGCTCAAACTTGACGCAATAAAAGGAACGTTTGCCGCCAAAACGGCCCCCTGCTTGCCCCTTGCCCGAGCCGAGGCCCGTGAACTTCGGGCGCTCACGGTCAGGGTGGGCCGCCGTCTGCACACAGCTGCTTGGCGGGTCGGCCTACCCATCGCGTTGCAGGCGCCGTACCGTTGGCGTCGCCGTCGCCTTGGGAGACTTTCATAGTGGGCGCACCATAACGAAACGGCCTGATGGACAATACTCGTTCTTCCTACCACAGGGCAGTGTGGGTTGGAGAAGGACGAGATGAAGGACGGGTAAAAATAATAGTCCGCGCTCCCGAAGACTGCTGGCAGAAGCGGGGTACGATTATGGCGGTGGCCACAGCAGGCGCCCTCAGTGACACCATATGAGAGAAAGACGCCCTTCTCTCATGATAACACATATACGTCTTCCTATCGAAACCAAAGTTAGGAACTACCAGTCAAGGTATCGTCGATGTATATCGTTGTGCACTTTGTCGTTACAATTTTAGGCCATTCACTGTATGGAAACAGTAAGAGATGTAAAAGGAAAATCTAATAATTTCAGTATTGCGACTATTCCCAGCAGGGTGCGAATAAAATGTACTGTAGCCTAATCTGACGTATCCTACCCCAACGTCCCTTCAAGTATCTGGTGTGAACAAAACATGGAAAATAGCTTGGATCGCCAAGAGCGAAAATTGTTTCGAGTCCGAAGGCACATGTACGCACTCAAGGAGACCGCCTTTACCTTTCAGAAAAAGAAATCAGACCAGTGAAAATCTGGAATCCCTCCCTACCGGTTTGCTCGATGCCTTTCAATTCAAGGTCGCCAACAAACAGGCCCACGTAATGACAACAGGGGTATAAATACTGTACAGCATCCTGTAGGCGGCAAACGAGCAGAAATACACTCGGACCATCTGGAAAGTTGAGCACGAGGAAGGGGACACAAACACATGTAAACGTTGCGACAAGCTGTCGAACACTTACTGCAAAGTGCTTGCCAGTTGAGTACTTACGATGTCCGGAGTAAGTTCTTGCCACTGACCACGGCGGGGCTCCTGACGTCACCGTGCGGGGGGGGGGGG